CCTCCTTTGTGTGTGTTTCCTTGGCCTAAAGGTGGATTTTACCTTACTTTTACACCATTACACACACTAGTATATCTTCTTTAACATCAATTGCTTTGTTGGTTCTCAATCTTTATTTCTTTCTTATTTGGAAGGATCTTCTATGTGTTAGAAACTGTGTGTTAAATTGATATTTTCTCCTCTTTTTTGGTGGATAAGATTCACTTTTTGTCACTGTCAGGGCATCTGATGTTGTGTGTTTTTTATTTTTTGGTTCAGTTTTAGTAATTTATTTGTTTTTCCCCGTTTTGTTGTCTTTTTCTTTTTTGTATTGGGATGTGATTTGTATGATATGGAAACAATTCTCTTGTAAAAGTATTTGTGCTTCATAGGTTATACTGGAGGAGCTTAATGCCATGTTTCTTCTTTGTTGTGTTAACTCTTACATAATAAGCTTCTAATTTTATTGTCTGATTATTGATTTATAGGAAAGTCATTCTTTTTAAGATTACAGGCTACCATGCAACCTCGGGATTGAGCCCAAAAGATGAGAATGTATTTGATTTGATTTGAAACATATGCACTATGTATTTTGCCGATACTAAACATAGTAACATGTTTTGTATCCTGTTCTTAATTTCTACCTTCCATGATTGAATTCACAGAAGCAATCCTGTTTTGAGGTTGAAGGCCTCGATGGAACCACCAGGGCTGACTGAGGGGCTCACAAATAGCAAACAAGAGAGCATAATAGGAACTCAAAATGGGTCTGATCTGTTCAATGAAATGAAACATCAGTTTCTGAGTTTCAAAAGGCAGAAATTCCTGTAAGCAAGCTTATAATTCTGACATCTTGTTGTTTTGCTTCACAGAAAATTGAGTTTCCCTGATGTGATGTTTTCTTTGAACAGGGAAAACTTGGAATGCTATGAAAATCTTGCCAAGAGTCAAGCACCGAAGGTATGATGGGTTTTTTAGGGTTAACTTTTTTTTAGTCCATGATATATTTTGGAGCCATCTGGGGATTACATTGGCAATTTGCCTCAATTTTGTGCTGAACTGGTTAAGATTTTCTTAACTGATGCTTGCAAGAACAGTTCATGGTCATTGCTTGTGCAGACTCTAGGGTTTGTCTCTCCTACATCCTAGGATTTCAACCCAGAGAAGCCTTTGTAGTTCGCAATGTGGCAAATCTGGTGCCCCCATTTGAGGTACCATATACATTGCATTTGTGTTTTGTTGGCTTTAGTTTAGTACTACTAGTTCTTCATTTATTGTAAGCATA